CGATTATCAAATTGCAGGTTTCTTGAATTTACCGAAAAATTGAAATGGTGGTAAGAAGGTCGTCTACTTCAATTTACCTGAGGTCCAACTGACCGTTCTTGAGTTAGATTAGTATAGTCCGTGGCGCGAAGCGCCGCGCACACCTTCAATTTATATGCGGAACAACTTACGCCCAGCGGCCGTGGGAAGCAACTTTGACTAAATTTCTTTCACTTGACACTTCTAAAGATTTACTTCTCTACCTATCCTATTTGCCCACCCCCAAACTCTATAACCACCGATTTCGCAGCACAAAATGCTGGGACTAGGGGGTATATTATTGGGCGTACATAAGCTACTTTGCCACTTTTGAATAAAAGTCATTCTCGGAAGTACGATTTTCAGTGATTGCCGGAAATGGTATCGACGATAAGTCGGCATACTAATATCACGTTGGGTTAACTTTATAGGTGAAGCCTTTGTTGCTGCGATTTGCAGATCCGACCCGGTGCGGAAGGCGAAGAAGCGAGGCGCCGAATGGGAGGAATATTTTTTTCTGTACAAAAAAAAACAGAGAATAGGTAGGAGGAAGTTGACCGCCAGACGAGCGTATATCTGCACCCGCGGGGAGGGGGCAGCGTTCAAAGTGTCTGAACTGTGCTCGAATTTCGCGCTGTTTGGTTTTGGGCCATTTTAAAAACAACAGACCCACCCACAAATTAGGGATAAAGATATACTAAGCAAAGAGAAGTACTTGGGGGTAAGTACATGCAGCGCACCCATTTTAGATCAGCTTCAAAATGTGTATGGGCACTTGAGTCGAAAATAATGAAATTCCTCAAAATAATTACCGGCAAATACAACAGTCAATGGAATGACCATTGCCGTAGTAGTAACCGTCAGCAACCAGCCATACCCGAGTCTAGGTGTTGCATTACAGCCGAGAATCAAATCCGCAAGCTGTTGATTAGAAGTGTAGCACTCTGACCATTGAGTCACGGACTCGTTACCTGTCTGGCGATAATATAATAGCAGCTGGGCGGCTGCTGGTGGAGCTCGAAACGAAACCTCAAGATGCAACTAACGAGTGGGTTCAAAGTGAGGTCGGTGAGCGACCTAGTACCTCTACGTTGCTGTATTTTTCCTTAATTTATTTAGTATGCAATGTGCGGTAATTACCGCGGTGAATTTACTGATGCCTAGCATTAATTACGTTTACTTTCTGCGAATTGAAATGGAAATAATCACCTACTTGGATTACAACCGCTACGTTGGGTGGTATTTGTAAAATGGACGTTTTATCATCGATTAGTTGACTGGCAGTCCACAGCACCCCATTTATAGTAATTCAACATCTTTAAAAAAATTAGATCTATCCTTTTAACCATGACTCATTTTCAAACTGATTGGGCTATAGAGTGGAGTGTCCCACTGCGTGTCGCTGAATTCTGGCTTACCTCTTAGATGCCAAAAAATATCAGCCTACTTGCCATCTTGAATCTTTTTTCTCTTTAACCTAGGCTATTCGACTGTTTTCCATGATTCAACCTGGCGACAAAGTCCTCGTCAGCCTGTCTGGAGGGCCTTCCTCGATGACGCTCCTCCACTGTCTACATGCATATCAAGAAATCTTAGAGAGTGAGAACCCGGGCGGTTCCGTCTTTAAAATGGCCGTCGTCATTGTTGATCTGGGCTATGCGAATTCCGACCTTCGACCTCTTCTGCCCTATCTAACGTCTCTTGGCGTGACTCATCATTTAGAGAAGAAACGTAAGTGTAAAAATAAATGCGGGCCGCCTTGACGATTTGTGCCGTTGCAGACAAGTTTTCAAAATATCCTGATTGTTTTCACAAAGAATCACGCAGCACGAATTCATAATTACCGCTATGACATTTAGCCCAGTTGTAGCCCAACTTATGAGAGTTTATATTAATTGAATAGGATCTTACTCAAGGGAATCTGTCAGTTACACGAATACTAAACGAATATAATCGTAAATAGAGACACATTTGTTGGTATCACAAAAAATTATCCACTAGGTAGTCACAAAACGGATTTATGCCAATGATAATTGTTTAGGCAGAGTTTAATAGGCTGTCATAACTATCCTAGGCAAACTGAACATGTACTCACTCGGCCTTTCTTATTAAATTCTGGAAGCCCCTTGTCAATTGGCCATTTCAACTTAGTATAATGCAAGTGTACATAGCAGGCATTACATATCCTGTTGCAATTGATAATTATTTGGCAACTCCAGACAGAAATATCTTTAAACAAATGGATGATATTTCATCGATTCGCGGGGAACATTGATGGTGAGTAAGACCTGACATGGTTGAAAGTTCGAAATATATACACAGGATTTGACATGAAATTTAAATAAAATACTACAATACCTTTTTGTTTTAACGCTATTCGTGTCCCTTGTAAGTAAATGAAGCCTATTACACAGCTTACTAAATACAAAATACGCATAGTATCTCATTGACAGATTTATATCCCGTTTGTATCTCGTCATTCCCTTCGCTGCAGTTAAATTTCTTCTGCAGAAGGCATGGTAGGCAGAATGTGCAAAGTGAAGGACATAAATTGCATTCACGTAGCATGCACTTCCGGCTTCTAGTAATGATGTTAAGGGTAGGTACTGCTTCACAATTTGACCTCCCTGTAGTTGGCATCCTTCAATGGATGGAAAACCACGAAAATAAACCAGTTTATCTGGGACCCCACAGGCCCAGTCGTTATTTCAAAGCTAATTTGCAGCATTTGAAGGTTGAGTGATATTTTTCACTCTATTTTGCTATTTATTTGTCTCCATGTGGCTTGCAACTGACGCCGAGATGCTAACTTAATTTTTCGCTATGTAGGAACCACTCATCTCTCTTAAGATATCTCTGTTTATTGATTTATATGCTACTAGAAGGATAAAACGTCAATTTTCGCCTTCTTGTTAAAAGGCAAATTTAATTGAAGTGAGTCAAGGTGGATCTGCTTGCGCAGTCAGGAACACACTTTTACACTTGATGATGCCGCGTACTGCGGCATGCGACATTGACAATGATCTAATTAGGAGCCTATGCTAACTTAGTTAAGAAAATCCGCAGATAAAATGCAGATCTCTTCCTCTCCGTCTACTGCTCGATCATATTTCATCTGTCGATCATTTCTTATTAACTCACCGAAACGCACTCTGTGCGCTAACATGAAGTCCTGTTCTAGACAGGATATACCGAGACATTTGTCATCCGTCATAAAGAAGACATTGGTTTTAACAGCTCATCTGGTTTTCTGTCAATACAGTCACCACATTTCATGTCAGATGCATCATCCGTGCAGAGTTGTAAGAAATAGAGGTATCGAAACTATGTCTCTCAGAGATATTTAAACCAATTTATGTACCATTAGTCACGGCGAAATTTTTCTCACACCGAATTCTGTAGAGCTGTTTCTCAGCGTAGTCATTCGGGAATATTTCTGAATAATTTCTATTCAACGCATATTTTAAGTACAGTGTGTGCGTGGCTTAACGTGCGTACTCGAAAGCTCTGTAAGATTGCTTATTGGATCTAGACAATCGATGGGTCTTATCCAAGTCTCCATAGAAATGTTAGCGTTTTCATCTTCTGCCGAAATTGCCCCTTCTACTCTTACTCAGTGGATTCTATATTCTCAGAAAAAGACCCCAACTTTGGCTGTGCATTAAAACAAGTTCAATTTTGATTCACAAGTACATTTGGGGTTTCCTTGCGTTTACCGAGGTTTGGCCTGTATTAATGAAGATGTGCACCCTTGTTCCTTAAATGATTGACTACGTATTTTAAGAGTTTGGAGCTTATACGTCAGGAAATAAACTGTTGGCGGTTTCCTTCGCGAAGACTTTCTGAAAACGCGTTTTATGCCAGGCTCCATCTAAATGCCTCATTATTCTCAATAATCATAGTCGGCCTGTAACGCCTTCCGCTTTGACGAATACATTCTGGACTGATTACATGATCGACTCGACTATCCTCATTTGCAGGCGAAAATAACTGACCAAAGTCTTCTATAATTTTTAGTATCTTTGTCTTAGACTTTTCGATTAGCGGTTGTTCGCTACCTCCTACATCCAAGCCATGATCATTCTCCTTACACCGTATAAGGGATTAAAGAGGGCTGTACGCCTCTTTAATCCAATAGTTGGCGGTGACTTACTTGGGAAATTCACCTCAGATTCGAGCATCTTGAACGACTTGCAAGTAACTGCTAAAACTCATTTCCTGGCATCGCGTGATGACGTGAGTACTACATCATACAGCATAACGAGTGCTGCAAGAAAAATTCCGCAATTTGAAAAAGCCCGGTAGTCACTCGCAAAACAACATTGAGTAGGGTTGCAGTACTGTTTATCATGCAGTCCAATTTCAATTATTTTCATTCACACTAGGAGGTTGATTCTGTGAAAAGCTTCTTTTTGACCACTGCGAATAGGTTGTTTCTGCAAAAAATGGCTACTTAAGTAGTATGCATTTTTATCATTGATTTTGATTGCCTTTATAACTTCAAATATATTTTATGGAAAGCATGCGCAAAAAATCCTCTCTTGTACTTATTTGATAACAAATTACTCGTTCTTTAAATTTTATTCTTAAATGAAGGACTTGCTTTGGTTTTAAAAAAGTTTCTAAAGTGCCGAATGATTTTGAAAGCTTCCGACTGCTAGAACTCAATTCAAGTTTTACAAACTGAATGCTGTGTTCATCCTGTTTAGGGAAAAGTGCGTTCTTGCCTATGGTTTGAGGAAGTGGTTGCATAGCTCTTACAGAATTTCGCAATAGACATGGATCTCGCTGTCTATCTCTGTGGCAGAATTAATAAATTGACGGATACGATGTATTATGAATGAATACCGCACAGTCGTAAAAAAACTCAAAATTAGAAAATTTTTAAACAAAAGAAAACCTTTCCTTTAAGAATAAAATTTAAAAAAGGCGTAATTTGCAATCAAATAAGTACAAGAGAGGATTATTTTGTGCATGCTTTTCATAAAATATATTTAATTTTTTAAAGACAGTCAAAATCAACGATAAAAATGCATACTGCATACGAAGTCATATTTTACAGAATCAACTTTTTCGCAGCGGTCAGAAAGAAGCTCATCACAGAGTTGGCCTCCTAGCGTGGCTGAAAATAATTGAAATTGGACTGATAAACAGTTTTGCAACCTTACCCAATGTTGGTGTGCA